GCAAATTGAGGGGTGATCGTTTTCTGAAGCATTGCTTCTTGCAAGATCTGATCATAGGATCTAAAGCTTCATGGCAAAATCATTGAATGCATTTTCCAAGCTTTGTATGCTGTTTCAAATTTCAACATTTTGGAGGAAATAGGAGAACCCTTCGCCCCTTCCTTCTTCAAGTGTAGACAACTTGTCCTTTATATCCTCACTTAAAATTCCAGAGCTGCACTTGAATGGTATTTTGGTCTAAAGAGATAAGTGTGTGTCTACCTTCATGTAAGATGGTAGTAATGTGAAATAAATTGTAGTTGGTTGATAAATGTTATTAAGATATGTTGATATTCCTGGAAATTTATTCAGAATAATCATTTGAAACTTACAGTCAGATGACTGGATTAACTGACGAGTATATGCTCTTTATGCTTTTGGATAAAAGTTAAACTTATCCAGCAATTTTGGAATGCGACTGGAAGAGTTAGTTATAATAAAATCCCTGGGGTTATAGTCTTTCTTATACTAAATTGAGGTTTCAACTAAATTGGTTTTATACTCGTACAGAATTGGATGAAAGAACTGTTTTATTTTTTTATTATATGTCATTATACAATTATGTTAAAAATAATATCCTTATATATGTAGCTAAACTGTTTTTTGCACTAATGAATACAGTAAGGTAGTCAGTAATATAAAACTAATTTCTAAAATAATGCCAATTGGAATAAAACTCTAAGGATCTCAGTTTTTCAATCAAAGGAACTATGATGCAACAAGTTTCAAGGTTCTGGTGCTTGTTAACATGTACCATCACCCATCAAATATTATGGTTGTGTTATCATGATTTTTGGCAGAAGAAAATGTGAATATCAGTTCCTATTTTACTGAAACACACTAAATTGAGTTACGAGTTCTGAAAGTTTAGAGCTTTGTACACTAAATGGGATTATTTAGTAAACTGAAATTTGACAAATACAGGTAAAGAATATTAGGCTTTCACTGGGACAGGAGAAAATATTCTCTGAATATGAAATTTCACTTAATGTATGAACACTATATTATGATTACACCACATATCTTTCCGGTGTTAGTGTTGCCTATGTTTAACTATGGTTTTGAAATTGCTAGTGTATATATTTTTTAAGCTTTCTTAAGTTGGCTGTTAAAGTAGGATGATTAGTGAATGTGGAGCTGTTGGTGGAATGAGAATTGGAAGGGAAACAGATGCACTTGGAGAAAACCCTCCCCAGTACTACTTTGTCAACTACAAATCCCATGTGGTCCCCCTGGGATCAGGCTGGGGTTACTGTGGTTGTAAACCAGTGACTGACAGCCTGAACTATGGCACAGCCTGTTAATGTAAATAATAAAGCACATCAAAGGTCACACAATTCCAACATCACCAAATGACACCATAAGAAAGGGCATACATACAGAAATCTAGTTTTCAAACTTGAATGTAAGAGCTGCTTGGGAGGCCTGTTCATAGATGGAGGGATAATGTTAAAATAGTTCTCGAAGGAGTGGGATGGAAACAGGATACAACTATCTGTGTGTAGGATCCAGTGATATGGTGTTGTCAGCATGGGAATGAGCTCTCAGGTTCCATAAAATGTGGGTTATCTGTTTATGAGCTTATAAAGAAGCACTGTGGAGTTAGGTGATATGAGGTTGCTGTTTTTTTTTCCGATGTCCCTGAGACATGTTACAATAGTTGCTCACAATGAATCACAACTACTTTGCTTTGAGTCAAGTTAGAAGTTGTCTTGACAAGGACTGACTTCTCTTTCTATGTGCGTGTGTGCGCGCACGTGCATGCTACACAGCTGCATGGTCTGTCAGACATTTAAAATCTACTTTTGCATAGCATTGTAACATGCAGTCAGTGTATTTCCTCCAGCATACACTGTTGACAAGTTAAACGTGCATTCATTTTGCAGTCATCTTTAGATTAAAAGTCTCTTTGTCAGCCTGAGGTGGTAGGTTTTCTATTTCATGTAGGACTGTGCTTTGCATAAGCAGTGTTTGCTATTCACTGTCAAGGCAGCATGTTTTATCACGTTAATACAAAGACACTAGCATTGTATATACATAGGTAAGTCAATAAGTAAGTTACAAATGGATATAGAACTTAAATAAGAGTACTGATTTGAAAAATGCTTTTATTTCTCAACATAATCTCCCTGTACGTTGAGGCACTTGTCCCATTGTTTGACAAGCCCCTGAAAACCAGCAGCATAGAATTCTTTGGGCTGCTGTTGGAACCAGGGGGTGACTTTCCTTTCTACAGCTTCATCGTCAGGAAAATGTTCAGATGAAAGATGATGTCTAAGAGGGCCGAACAAATGGAAGTCACCTGGAGCAAGGTTGGGGCTATACTGAGGATGTTTGAGGACTTCCCACTTGAAATTTTTGCAGCGTCTCATTTGTCTTATAGGCAGTATGGTGGTGTGTGTTGTCATGCAAGAGCAACACGCCTTTGGTGAGGAGTTCTGGTCACTTCCGTTGAATGGCCTTATGAAGTTTCCTGAGGATGTTACAGTAGGAGTTGGCCCTCTTAAACATCATGTTTTGGCTGAAAATTTTCCCGACAATGAAGCTGTAGGAAGGGAAGTCACTGCCTGGTTCCGACAGCAGCCCAAAGAATTTTATGCTGCTGGTTTTCAGGGGCTTGTGAAACGATGAGACAAGTGCCTCAATGTACAGGGAGATGTTGAGAAATAAAAGCATTTTTCAAATCAGTACTCTTATTTAAGTTCTATATCCATTTGTAACTTACTTATTGACTTACCCTTGTAGTATGTATGAATGACCAAAGACCAACGTTTGTTTGTGGTAGGACATATCTCTGTATTTCAGAACGTTTGGTGAGACAGTTGTATACTAAAACCTAAGGTATGGAAAGAGAGAACTGTGTCATCCAGTGGGTCATTACTATCCTCTAAAGAAGAAGGGTGAAGTTGTTACTATGGGCCGTCTACATTATACTGTTTAAGCTGAAAACTGATGCAATTTTTCAGTCAGTCATACTATTTCCATGGCACATAGAAGCTCAATGTGTCCCTAGTTAAACCATAGAAAGGTAAAGGTCTACCTGTTAAACCCAGCACTTACCTCACCCTCTCTTTGATGTAGGGTAACAGGTAAATGATTGGGTCACAAACAGTGTACCTAAGTAGAAGGCATTAATATCATCGTCTGAAGTGTAGAAGTGATATATTTGTTTACAAAATGAAGGAACTGTATCATTTACAGTTAGGTAACTTCTGAAGCATATGATTTTGTATTATTTTTTTGTTCAGTCATTGTCATCATCTTCACTGCATGTGTTCTGTTATCACTGAAAATAAAATATGGATCATGTTGGATGATTTGCAACCCTTAATTATAGCACTGTGTATATTGTCTTCAGTCTTGGAGTTGAAAATTAACTTGCATCTTTCCATTGTAAATATAATTGGATTGGTGAAATGTCTGTGCATGTTGCTTAATTCTTTCAGCTTCATGGATAATCAACAGCTGCCATCAGGTGGTTTATTTTTACTAAATAATGATATTTCTGCTGGTTCATGTTGTTGAATGTTCTGGACCACATGTGGAAGCCTTTGTGTTGTAAGGTTGTCAGTTGGACTGGATATGTAAAAAGAAAAAAAGAAAACTCGTGGAGCTTTAAGATAACGATTCTTATAGCCATAGGTGGGCAGTAAGATCACAGCACCATTCATGCAATGTATTTAATTTCTTTAATGGATAATTTTTATTCAAGCTCTGTTGTAATTTGAGATTTGCTGGTTTTTAAGTTGGTTATGTAATGGTGCTATCAATATATATATAGAATTATTGAATGATAAGATAAAGTTAAGAAAGTAAAGTTATCGTCATATCAGGCTGTGAAGGCCCATAGGGTTGTGAGAGGTTGAGGCTTCCACATCTTCTAGGCAGTCTGCTTACAGATCGTAACTGGAAGATGTGGGAACCTCAACCTCTCACAACCCTGTGAGCCTTCATGGCTTATCATCATAAGCATCAATGATAAGATTATTAATGAATATGGAGTGGTTGGTGGAATTAAATTAGCAAGGGAAATTAAAGTACTTGGAGAAAGCCTGCCTAATTATCACTTTGTTGACCAAAAATCTGAGATTTGATGTTCTTATGGAGGTGGTGGCTATGCAGATTACTGTTTTCTGGGCTGTGACACTGTGTAGTCAAATGGATGTTTTCTAACATGTTGGAGAAATGTGCTACCTCCATGTTAAGGGTAGGAGACGCTACTCTTTTCTGCTCTGAAGATGGAGGCATCAGATTTCTCTGAAATGTTCGTGAATATCTTCCAGACTACACAGCATTACGTCTTAGAAAACAGTATTGTATTATTTTAATTACTGCATTTGTTTCCTTAAGTACTGAAAACGTGGGGAAAGAGTTGGGTGATGTTACAAAAGAAGGTGATCAGTTGTGTAGAAATGGAATAAAATGATGAATTAGGGACCTTTTTTTGTACAAGTTTCTATTGTGAAACATGTCACAAATTAGCAGGTATGTATTTCAGTCCTCTAAGCTATGTAGTCAGGCCCTGAAATTTCATTTTTATTCTGTATCTCCACAGCCAGTCGCTAAGTAGCTGCATTTAGTCAGTGTGAAAATTTAAAAAGTATCGAAGGGTGTAAAAAAATGTGGGATTGGAATAGAACACATCAAGCACTTAGTTGGAGCACATGTATATAAAATCCACTTGGTAGTATTCTGTGCCTTCATGCTGGTGAATTTTCTGACATATTTTAGGTAATTTAAACTAATTATGCCTAACAATTTTACCAATTTAAAATTATCCATTTGCTTTTTGGAATGAATTTGCCATGTTGAATGGCCCGAACTTATGTTTTAGCTCTTAGAATGTTGGTATTGGATCTCATCACTAATTAATCTGAACTGGCAGCACTTTGTTGTGGTAACTAACACATTTGAGAAGCATCCTTGAGGACTGAGAGCCACTGGTGTGTAATTGTGTACAGGGCTCGGAAAGTGGCTCATGCAGTTGGAGCGATTCGGACTCAGACTCAGACAGCAGCTCCTGCTCGTCGGGCAGCGGTTGCTCAAGTGGGCGATCCTCACATACCCACCAAACTTTTTCCATCAGGGAGACTAATTTTGATCAGGTTTGTAATATAAGCAACAGCTTCTTCTGCTACTTCTGTGTTTCTTCTTGTAACAGGATGGTCGATGGAGCATGTTAGTAGTCCAAGGTTGTGGGTTCGGAGCCTGCTGAAGGCCTGAATATTTGAATGTTGGCATGTTACTAACATCTTGTGAGTACTCAGTAGAATGTAGAGTGAGAGCTATACCTGCATAGACATAACGCATGCCATTCTTCCTCTCCAGGTGCCTCTTAAGAGAACTGACTGCACATTTATTTATGCATGTTCCGTTTGGTTAGACTGCTGCTGAAAGCGTGTGTAAGTATCATGCATGAGCAGTCCTTACGTTTAGAAGTATTTGGGTGAAGGCAAATAGTTTAACCAGGCTAATGCTGTTGGAAGCTGCAAAGATGTTGAACTGACACGTGTATTTTAGAAATGTTGGAAATGTGTGTAAGAGGCTATAATTAGTATTAGTGACCACTTGAAATTTGTTCTTCTTGTACCTCAGTAACATGTAGATGGAACGGCAAAGTTTTGGGAACCATGTATGAAGCCGTTGGGATACTAGCAATTGTAGAAGAAAATATTCTGTGTTTTATACCAACTGTTGAACAGTTTTTCATTAATACTTGTTCTGCTTACATTATGTGCTATTTTAGTGCTACTTTGCAAGCATACATGTGAAGTTGAGCCTTTGAGGCCTCTAATGGACAGTTTGTGCATTAAATATTAATATTAGGGACTAACAGGAAAGATGTTTCTAGTCTGGAGTTTATATGTTTTCCAGATGCATTCCATGTCACTTAAATACCTCATGAAGTGGGTTTGTGTAAGGGTAACTCTCCGGACTTGTATTGAGGCAGAGCTTGGTTCTAATCTCAGTCCAGTTGGTGACTATTCCGACTTAATCATGGTCGTTTTCCTCAGTTCTTCCAGGTGAATGCTTAGGTCAGTTAATTGACAACCCATCCCACCCATGATATGTATACAGTGGCCGTCTTGTAGTGCACTCAATTTCACCTGTTACTTCACGACATGTTTCAGCAACACAGTGCCATCATCAGGTGCCCTAATCACGCTAACCTATTGCATTGCTTGCCATTATATGTCTTTATAATCTTATTTAAAAAGTGCATATTCATCAACTATAATAAATATACACACATTAAAACTTGTTAAAATTATTCATCTTATGTGTCTTAATTAAAACTTGCGTGTGGTTCTTCCACTATGGGGGTCGTTTTTCTTATATTCTGTGTAAACCGTGTCTTGTGATGTGTGTTCCCATCCCACCATTTGACATGTAATCTGAGACATGGACAACATCATAAAGTAACCCCCAAAAAGCTCATTGCTCTGGATTTTTGACTACTGTTGCAGATATGATACACATGCAGTATTGTACCATTGCTACACAGTGACCATTGTTGTACATGAAATTTTTTCAAGTCATGCACAGTATAAGTCACTCCCGAGCTCGTGTTTCATCCTTGCTCAGTCGTCATGTATTTGTGGTAATAAATAGTAAGTGTAAGGCCTGATTGTTACTGAGCAAGGCAATCTTCATTTCACCAATTGCTCCACAATCACCCTCACCTATCATCTGGGGCTGGTACAATAGGCCAGAAGTGGCCGCAGTACAAGGGACTTTGTCCCACCCCACTAGCAATTAAAAAAAGGTCAGAAAATGTAGTGAACATGCTGTTAATGGGAGTACTGTTGTTCCCATTGCAATGTCTCCTCTGTCAAACATATTTTTGCTGGAATGTTATCAAGGGAATGTCACTGATGGGCAATAATTTTGTTTATTAGGTGATGTCTTAAATATGATAATTGTGTGTTTAATGGATCATCAGTGATAACCAACAATAAAATGAAAACAACCGTGTCCTTTCTTATAGCTGTCTTTGTTAATTGAATAAGGCGTGGGCTGTACTGTTCCTTAGACTGTGACCATCCTTTGAGTCTTTGTATGTCCTTTGTTGGTTCTCTGACAGTCTGACATTTGACATGAAGTGCAGTACTTCGCTTAATGAGGCCTTAAGTAGTTGCTTGGCTTCGTAGAATGAAGTCCCAGGTGATAAAATCTTAAGTTACCTAGGATCTGGCAGTCACATAGGATGTGTGAGGCTTGTAGCTCTTTCTTTCTTGTAGCCATACTGTTTGGTATTTAGGTTGGAATGTGAAGTAACACATGAACTCTGTGGGTAATATAATTGCATTGCATTGTTGAAATATATTTATTCTTGTATGGATGTCACTTATATTTCTAAGGTTTCAAATAAAAAGCAGGGATGTGACTTGGGCACAGATCTGTCTGTTTCTGTTCACAAAACAGTGGCAATTGGTTTGTATGACTAGGTTACAGCAATAAACAAGAATTCCAGGAACTTAAAAGTTTTGATAATTTTCAAGTAGATTTAGTGTTATAGTGCAAAATGTAGCGGTAGAGAAGAAATAATATTGTAGCATTCTGTTGCACTTTTCACTTGTGTAGGTCATTCACCGTCTTACTTGCAACACTATGTCCAACAAAACTTATCACTTTTACAAGTTTAAAAGTTTTTTAAATTTTTAAAATGCACTACATATTTCAGCCAACATGGTCATCATCAGGTGTTAGAAATATGTTTAATGAGGAAATCGCTGCTTTCACTTGCTGCTGATGCGCGTGTGTGTTGTAGTTGTGTTATGCACCTCTTTGTTGTGTTCTTCATTGCATGTTCTGTTGCTGAATCAGGATCACAACAGGGAGGAGCATAACACACCAACCACAACACGCACACCCATCAGAGGGACCTGCAAATGCATCAGCAACAAGTGAAAGCAGCGATTTCTCCATTAGACATATTTTTAACACCTGATGATGGCCCTGTTGGCCAAGACATGTAGTGCATTTTAAAAATTTAAAAAACTTAAACTTGTGAAGGTGATAAGTTTTGTGGGACATAGTGTTGCACGTAAGATGGTGAATGATTGACGCAAATGCAGAACAAATGAAGCTTATTTGCAGATCAATCCTTTTGATGATGGATATTGATAAGGGTCCCCAAGACTTGCAAGTAAAACTATAATTGTTTAATCTGTGAGAACAGGTTCTTTGAAGATTACTATCTTCTGGGAGTGATGCTCTATAGTCTGTTAGATGTTACTGTTTCAGAGTAAGTTGTAAGCTCCATCTTCATGGTAGAAAATTCAAACATCAGCTTTCTCCAGAATGTTTTGTTTATATCTACCAGGCTACATGTCATCACATCCCAGAACACATTTATCTTTATTGCTTAAACTGTTTCTAATATGGGGCAGATCAGCAGCAATTTCCAAACTGTGTTTGTGTTTAACCCTTTCCTGGCCTAAACAGTTGTAAAGGTTTGTATATAAATTGTAGTTTCTAGTGTTCATGTTTATATCACATCTCCTAATAACATCTGTTGGAGGTTGAAGCACTATCTTGTTGTTTCTGTAGATTGTATGATATATTGTTCTGTATATTTGCTCCATTTTCTTTGTTATTTCTCTCAAAATGAAGTCATTTAGAATTACTGTTTACTTATGTTAATAGGGTAAAATCTGGAATTAAAAACTGAATACAGAAGGTAATTCGAATTAATCTTTTAGTTTCTCTTTTAACAGTCAGTACTTGGAAATTGAAAGTTAAGTATGTTTCCAAAAGGAGAGCTTGACAGCTGAGTGTAACAGTTTCTCTATGGAGCAGAATGGAAAAATGATACATGACTGAGTGATTTGTGCTGTAGTGCACCTTTATGCACCTCTTAGAGTTCTTAATTTGCACAGCCTTTTTTGTTTAGTGAGATGCTGAATATAACTGTGCCTCATGTCACACCATATCATACACTGTGTACGTACATGAATAAATTATATCCATAGTAATTATGTTTATGTGTATCATTTTTTTGTATCATGCAGTTTCGTTTGCAAAAATGAAAAACTGAGCAGTAATAAGAGTGGTGGACATATGAGATATTAAGATGAAATGTCATTATGAAAAGGCCTGCCCAGTGTGTAACATAATAATAATAATAATAATAATAATTTATTCCTATATTCAAGTAGATCCAATTACAGGGCGAGAAACAAGTTGACACACCGCTGGATATAGAATACGTCAAAAATCAAAACAAATGTTCCAACCAATCACTGGAACAAGTCAAAATAACATAATATAAAACATAGACAACACAGTCACTAAACAAAATAAAATGTGACTATAACAAGACTTAAATACTAGATGAAAACATATTAACCTTTTATCATATAAAATTCATCCAGTATATAAAAACAATGCATATGAATGGATATTCTCTATAAACAACAAAACATCAAATAATGTATGTTACATTATTCACACATCAAAGAAAAACTGTAAAAACATGCATGAACAAAAAATGGAATAAATAACTTCTCTCAGAAGTGTACTAAAATTATTAATGGTAATAAATACATTCATGTGGAAAATATTGGTGTGATGACAATTTAACAGTGTCAGCACAGGCTGGTCATTTGTTAAAACAGGACTGTTGAGATCTCTTTGCCATTATCATACTTCTGCAATATTGCAATATTTATTGTTATTTGGAGCAGTTATTGTTGTACTGTCATACGGCACTTAAGATCTCGATATCAGTTTGTGCACTGTTTTATGTAACACTACTGTTCACTCAGTGCCTTGCCCTCTTCTTGTTTCTTCTCTCTACCTGCACAGAATTAAACCATGATTCACAGCATGCACTGTTTCACAATATTTTCTCTGTGCTGGACGTATGACAGTGCTCCGCTGCACTCACGTCTTTGCTGTGCAGCACCCAGCTGGACACAGACTAAGTTCTCTTCCAGAATTCCACAGCTACATTTTATGGGCCCAGTCCATGGGAAGTTTGCTGTGGGTTCTTGGGTGACCCCAGCCTTGAGCAGGCTCATATACTCTGGAGGAGGAGTCTTGCTGTATCTGTGGAATGAGTAACACATGCAGAGTCACCCCTTCCATGCGCTCAGCCCCCATGCAGTTTTGTTAATTGTGTAGAAATGAATGTTAATTCTAAATGCTGTGACATGCTGATTGAGGAACACTTATTCAGTACATCCAGAATATGGTAGAGTAGGTAGCAGTCTGCTACATATGCAGGAGGTTCTGATCTGAGTCTAGAGACAGCTCTTGTAACAGGTCTTTTGTAATTGTTCTCAGCCTGCAGACAAACGCTTTGATAGTACCTGAAATAACTCCATAACTGCTTGCTTCTGCATTATTTTAAATTCATTATTCACTAATCATTCTGCCATTTGAGGCTATAATGTGAGTTACTGACATAAATAATAAATCAATAGTGTATACATACACATTGTGTTTATTTTAATGTTTACCAATCAGCAGGGTGGTCACATTGCTCATCACTATTTAACGTTTACTAATCAAGAGGCAGGTCAAAAGTTTCTAATTGTTTAATGTTTACTGATCAACAGGGAGGTCTGAAACTGAAGATTGCTGCTCTCAAAGTCACAAAGAAGACAGCTGCTAAAGATGCTGATGTGAGAAAAGTTAGTCCAGTTGTGACTAAATTGTATGGAAAGGAGAAACCAAAGGCAGAAAAGACATCAACTCAGGTACGAGCAGTTATGAGACCAGATGCCAAAACTAACGGCACCAAGAAATTGGAGGTCCGGAAGAAACCACTTGAAGTACGGGATGGCAGCAAGGCTCGTGGCGTTGGACGTGCACAGAACAAGGATAAGGTACTGTACATGTGTCTTTTATTAATGATTGGAGGTGCGTGGGTTGTATTAACCTTTATCAGCTATGTCAATGCAGTGCACAGTCTAGCTGGCCAAGCATTGCATTCCTTCAGTGCTAATGCCATTACCCTCCCAATTAAAGTATGGCTGCTAGACCTGTAGAAGCAGGAGGTTTATTATTACCTCTGAAAATAAACTGTTACCTCTGAATTAAAAGCTGGCTCATATCCCTGTAATACCAGGAGATTCAGAACTCTAATTCTGGATGATAAAGGTTAATACTTTCACTTTCTTATGTTGGAGATTTATGAGTGCTTTATCCAGATTGGAATATCATGCTGAGGCTGGATAGTAACATTCTGTGACAAGACAAAGGGAAAGTATTGCCACATTCAGACATGTGACTGCTCTTTTGTGTAATTCTGAAAGTGGAAGCTATCATGTAGCATATTGTGTGGCATGTATGAAATTGAAATGACATTCATGAGAAAATTAAGTTCAGAATGAATTGGGAATTACTTGCTAACCTTCAGCACAAAATCTTTTTATCTTCTCATGTCCCATTTATCATTGAAAATTCTGTAATTTAAGGAGCTCAAATTTTTCCTGTTGGTTTATATGGACACGAAACTTTGTCTCTTGCTCTGGGGATTTTGGAGGATGGAGTACGATGAAGAATATTTGGACCCATGAAGTAACAGGATGCAGAAATGATAGTGAGGATTTTCATAGCTTCTGCTCATCACCTAATATTTTTTAGGGTCATTGCAACAGGGTGGGCAAGATGTGTAGTACCTTGAATGGCGGATCAGAAAGATACAGAATTTTGGTCTACATGGTAAAGAAGAGATTGCACGGGAGATTTGCTCATGGAGTGGATTGCAAATAGTAATGAATCTTTTGTGATCCATAAGAGTAGGGAATGTTTTGACCAACTGAGTAACTACCAGGTTTTGAAGCACACTATTATTATTATTAGAGGGGGTGGGTTTCCCCTTGCACTTAGACCAGTTTTTGGTCCATTGTGTGTCCCCCTTTAATTTCTACTGTCTCGATACCCTACCGGTACTGGTGCGTCCTATCAGCCCCGTTCAGCCACTGAGGTCGGCCGTCGGTACCTGATATTTCCCCCATCTACCAGAGGTGTTGGAAACTACTTGGGCAGGAAATTGTTGCCTGATTTTGCTCAGAGGTCTCCTAGAGACATGAGGATCTTTTACGTGCCATAAATCTACGATACGGGACCCACGGCTTAAAGTCCCTTGAAGCACACTATGTGTAATGCTATCTGTATGGCATAAAAAGCCCGAAATTCGCTACTCTTGTTATGTATTAGTCAGAATTGTTAATAGTTGTGGGCAGGATTACCAGGTAGCAGTGAGAGATACCTGTGCTTCAGTCATGTTGCAGATTTGACTTTTGCATGCAAAAGAATATTCTTTTGTTCATGGCATGCATATACTGTATATATGTAAGTGTGGATCTGTGGTTGGGTTATGTAGAAACTGGCTACAGGTTGGAACTGTTTATTGCAAAGGTTATGTCCATTTGTTCTATACAAGGTGATTCGGAATAATATGCAGGTCTTTATTGATGCAAGGGAAGATTACGATATGTATGTGGGAAAATTCAGAGTGTACAGTTTTAATGTTAAAATAATAGCTATTAGTGTTTATTATGTGGCTGAAGGCCACTTCTTTCAGTTACAGTTTAACTATGACTGAAGGAAATTGAAGAAATAGGGAGTTTGATGATTTTGGTGGAAGTTTGTTCCTATAGGTAACCATTACCGAAACATTTCCTCTAGATAGCAGCATCACTTTGAACATTTTATTATTCTGTCAGCTATAGTTGTGTTGAGTTGATAGGTTGTTTGAAACTTTCATTGCCTAGAATATATATTGTCATGTGTAGGGTGGTACGTGTGATGGCTTCTAGTTCAGATGATTTGATTTATTGACAGCTTGGGTTACACGCACTCTCTCAGTTACACTCAAATTACAGCTCTATTGCTGATTTACATACAGCTCATAATCCACTGCTGCAAGCACTGTTACACATATAAAGACTTCTACATCACACTTGACATCCTCACAGGCAATCTTCTGTATTCCTTGATCCGCTTAGCTTGCTCCCGCCACTCTCAACTTCTAGACTTCAACCGACTACTCAATACTGCATCAGCATTGACGGGTACTCTCGGTATGTAGCTTCTGCCCTGACCACACACAAAACGTGTTTACTGATTGCCTAGCAACAGTCGCTGCACAGACTCCCCTGTTGCGTGATGTCACAGCCTAGCAGTGAGGGATGTTTACTGAGCATTGTTACGCAATGAACACTCGTTGCTACGGATAGTCCTACGTAACGGTCTCAACAATTTCCATTATTTTGTTGCTCAGCGCTGGATGACATATAACGCCACAATATATATGGTAGATTGATTAATGAAATGGAAAGAATTTGGATGGTGGTTGCGGACCAATCCTGATGTTTGCCTGGAGGGACTAAGGAATATTTCAGTCGTAATGTACAATGTCCTGGCCAACTTTTCAAGCAGAGTACTTACTGAATATATGTCTAAAGGTGGCCTTAATAGCTAGACCAATTTCCTTTGTCATGTTTAGTGTTTTACTATGAATGTAGCAGTTTTTCCTTAAATTTTTAAGTTATTAAGGTTATTTGTTAAAGTTTATTTATTAGAATTTTTCATTGAAATATCTGAGCTGCTAGTGAAGAACAGTATAAATAAGTTGACTAAGATACTGGCTATCCTGACTGAAGTTTTTCGTAGTTTTTTTTTTAGCTGCACTGCTCAGGTCATTACCTCGATAGTAACGCAACTGCTGCCTTCCACATCCTTTCCAATCCCTTATTTGCCAGTCATCCCACCATTTGACCCTTTATAGTCTAAGATGCCAACAGTGTCATTAAGTAAACCACATTTTATAAACACTGGCAATAGTCTGTTTCTGGTCTGTGTTTGATTTCTTTTCTGAATCCTAATTTTTGGAGCTTTTGTCTAGATGTACAGATTATTTATGATACCAGTCCTGTGATAGTATGACTGGCAGTGCTAGTTGGAATGAGTTTTTTATCAAAATAAAATACCTTTCATATCTCAAAGAGTTGACTGTAAAATCGGACTGTTCTACTAAAAACTATGTCTGAGACAAAATGTTTTTCACTTCATAGTATTTCTTTTCATGTAGCAAATGTATCATAGTATAGAATAGATTAGAATGTCAGTACCACTGAGGAGTAGATCAATCCTCTGTGTCAAACATATTTTTAGTTCGAAATTTTTGTATGCAGCTGTGTTCATATGGTTGAGACAAAAAATGTACATCAAAGGTGATGAGGCATGTCCCTGTTTGATGCTGTGACATTTTGAGGCCTGGCCACTTTTTATGCAAAGAATATTTAGAAGAAGAACCACGATCCGTACATTAAGTCCACATGCTTGAATGATTTAAACATTAATATTGTCATGTATTTAAGAGCGTGACTGTAGAGGGGGTATGGATGGGATATTGGATTTATTGACCACCTACAGGTTGTAACAACAAATAACTATGACATTTTTGCCAATTTCCACACCACAAATCCTTCACGCTAAGTCTTACAATCTGCTTTCACTAGTTGTTGCTTAGTAACAGCTCTCAGTAGTGCTATTCTTCTGCAGTGTTGTCACTAGACATTTCCTGGTAATGAATCTTAACAATGGAGATTCTTAAGCGTCCATGGTAATGCTGTTGCCAATTGGTTAACACTCCACACCTGTACTCTTTTAACTGAACCGACAACTAACTTGGTCACAGTTCAAAGTCAGAAACAAAGTCAGATTTATTTTACGAGTGGCGGTTTACCACTGATTAGTTCCTCTTGGTGACGAGTCACTTGAGACCCACTACCAGAAATCTTTTTTTTTTTCACGACTGAATTCTTGTGGTGGTCTTTATATAAGATCCTCTGTGATGAGGAGATGGGTTTGTCTTGTGGATATGCATGACCTTTTGTCAAAGTACATTTTGCGCATATATCATGTTCTTTAGATTGTTTTTGCACTACACACAAGTCCTCTGTCAGTACAGTATTTACAGAGCAGCTTATGCCTTACATACCTTATGCTACAGCAGCAGCGTAGTCACTTGAATTGTTGTAAGCTTGACCACTGCCAAGTTCGTATAGCAACAGGCGTGACCAGAGTGGTTTGAACGGCTGTTGTACTGCGATGTCGAAAGCAAATGGAAAAACTACCACATTATCACTTTTCCTGGATAGTCTCTTTCCAAAAACAGAGATGCCATGTATGCGACACAAATTGGATTGGTCATATTTTACGCAGTAACTGCCTCCTAAAAGAAGTTATTGAAGGAAAGATAGAGGGGCGGATAGAACTGACCAGAAGACGAAGACGACATAAGAAGATGCTGGATGACCTTGGGGACAGAAGAGGATATTCTCATTTGAAGGAGAAAGTTTTAGATTGCATTAAGTGGAGGAACTGTTTTGGAAGAGACTGTGGATCTGTCGTCTGACAGATTACTGATGATGATGATGATGATGATGATGATAATGATATATATATATATATATATGGAAGGTTGAAAGCTGTGTGCATATCATGAACCAGTGTTCACCTTGAAAAATTTTCAGTGTTGAACAGAACCTTGTTTTGCATGCAACAATCAGTCATCCAGTCTGTCTGGGAATAAAGCATCCATCTGGGCCTTATGACCAGATTTTTATTATTGTCAGACAGTTGTGGAACTATTTGAACACTTAACATCAGGATTTCCTATTTTGGCAAATACATTAGTGTGTATGATATGCTAAGGTCTGTACACATCTATATTATTTGATATGCAAGAAGTTAGATATTGAAACAGTGGGAAACTGGTACTCACACAGACCTAAATGTGAAGTTTTGTTGCTATCAGGGTAAGAAATTTTCTCTTCACTGGAACCCACCCAGCCTTCTGACCAACGGACATCAG